ACTAGAGCTGAACATAAGAGAAGTGAACTAGCAACTGGCCCTATATATAAGTGAAGTCTTGAATGAATTAAAATCCTCACCAGCAAAATCATGATCAATCTTACAAAATATTCCAAGATTTTATTTCTTTCACTATGCACCCTCAACCTCTGCTTCTACATTACAAACTCCGACGAAAACGGAGGCTGGGAGAGAGGCCACGCCACTTTTTACGGCGGAGCTGATGCATCCGGCACAATGGGTACTTAAAAGTTAAAACGTACATTACTTTTTCATGTTGATATATACTTCAATATATTTTAACCGTTTAGGTGTTGAGCTCTTTCAGGTGGTGCGTGTGGGTACGGTGACTTGTACAGGCAAGGCTACGGGCTACAAACCGCGGCGCTGAGCACGGCTTTGTTCAGTAGCGGGCAGAGATGTGGGGCTTGCTTTGAGCTACGGTGTGAGGATGATCCTGAGTGGTGCCTCCCTGGTTCCATTATCATCTCGGCTACAAACTTTTGTCCTCCAAACTTTGCTTTAGCCAATGATAATGGTGGTTGGTGCAATCCTCCCCTCCAACACTTTGATTTGGCCGAGCCTGCCTTTCTCCAGATCGCTCAGTACCGAGCTGGGATCGTTCCTGTCAGATTCAGAAGGTAAAAGCTCGTGTAGCAAAATAGCTAGGGGTTGTCAGTCCGGTTTACATTTTGGTTTTCAATTTTCTTTTCCGGTTTATAGAAACTGAAACAAACAAATTTAAAAATATTTTTTGTATCTTTTTAATAAAAATTATTTAACAAAATCCCTATTTTATATTTCTTTTCACACTTAAAAAATATATTATATGATGTAATATAATTTTTAGCTGTTTTTATTACGTATAGTTAGTACATAAATTTAAATGAATTTTAGTTTATTTGGTTTTGCTCGATTACATAACAATTGGTTTCGGTTAAACATTTTAGTTTGGTTTGGATTCAGTTTTATACTTTTATATATCGACCCTATTACAAACGTAGAAGCATTTTTCATAAGAAGCAAGCACATTCATATTCACTTAAAGTCATAACTCTACGTACCATATTTTTGTCCTGTGATAATAATAACAGGGTTCCATGTGAGAAACCCGGAGGTATAAGGTTTACGATAAACGGTAATTCGTATTTCGACCTCGTGCTAATCACAAACGTGGGTGGTGCTGGAGATGTAAGAGCCGTCTCTTTGAAAGGATCAAAGACTAATCGGTGGCAATCTATGTCTAGAAACTGGGGACAGAATTGGCAAAGTAACACTTACCTCAGAGGTCAAAGTCTCTCTTTTCAAGTCACTGCTAGTGATGGTCGGAGTGTTGTGAGCTACGATGTTGTGCCTGAAGATTGGCAGTTCGGTCAAACTTTTGAAGGAGGACAATTCTAGAAATCAATATATAGATGTACAAGCTGAAGAGTCAAAGATTGTGTTTAAGACAAAGGCTCTGCTTCTCATGGATCATTGTGTACTTTTCTATAGTCATAAGAAGACACTACTGAGACAATTAATTTAGTTGGAAAAAGGCATTTTTATATTAATTCCTCTCATATCCTCCTTTTAGTATATAACAAGTTCATTAACATCCTAAAAAAGAAAACAAGGCCATTAACAAGAAAGAAAAAAAACTGAATGAAACTTATTGGTTTGTGAAAAATACTACAAAATCTTATATTATATGGACAAAGCTTATGTAGTTTGCAAGATTTTGATATGGTTAATTTAAACAAATTATTGACGTGCACAACTTAAAAAAGGCTCAATAAGTATCAAAATATTTTATAGATGTCATAATAATACTAGTACAAAATTTACAATTTTACTAAGAATTTGATTCTCTTTATAATAAAGAATAACTATAGGAATTTGTTGTTGTTATCGTATTCGTACATGACTTTTAGTCACCAAGATGATGACAAAGATATCAATCTTGTTTAAGTCTTGACGTCGTTGATTCTCTTGCTAGGCCCAGACGCCGGAACTGACCCTTTTGGAAGAACGTTCAACACCAATGACCCGTATTTTCCGGTGACATAGGCTCCCGGAGAAGACGAATATTCCTCCGTGTAGTGAACATCCTCGCCTTCGCACCCTACCATCGTCGCCGGCACTCCGTTCACCGTCTTGGAGACTACAGATATTTCTCCAGTGAAGATTACGCCATCGATTACCGGCGGAAATCCTTCGGGAAAGTTTCTAGCCGTTGAGAATAAAACAAGCTGAGAGACATATACGAAGAATATAAGAATCAAAGCTCCATTTCTATCCATTTTTTTGTGTGTGTGTGATATATATGTATGAGTGAACACTGTTTTATTTTTCTTATTATTTGTCACTTATGTTATTTGGTGAAGATCCGTGAAAGTGCATATGCATGTATATATATGTGTAATGAGATAGAGAGGTCAGAGGTCAGTCAATAGCAACTGCGGAGATAACGCGGCAAGACTCAGACTCAAAAGAGTTGGAAGAATCAATATATATAGGTCATTATACTAGTTTCCGGTCCAACTAAAATATCACTAAGTACTGTAGAATGATAATAGATTTTCCTATGGAAAAAGTTATTGAGAGAAACTTTTCATACCTTCGTAGATTTTTTTATAATAAGATACTAGATTCTCATGTGCGGGAACATTTGTTGTATATATTGTAAACTATACTTAGTTTTTATATATAATA